TGAACTAGTTGATTTTTACTTCAACTTTTGCGATATTTGTCTAAATATCTTTTCAAAATAAAACTAGTCCAATGTTGAAATTAACATGAAATGATCTAATTCACTGGAAAGTTAACCAGTGTAAAATTAAAAAATCAAGAAGACAATATACCTATTTATTGTAATTACTTTATTCGTTAAAGTCGTTAAAATATGTAAAATCAAATTTGATAATGATTAAGGGATTGGACAATTTTTCTCGTTAGCGTTTTTTTAACGAGCTCATTTTCTACTGGATGGGGTCACTCAACCCACGCATAACCCTCCTCCTTTATCCTGGCTGGCACCCGGCATTAGCCCCTGGAAGGGCTACAGGCAGAGTTATTAATTAAGGGATAACATTTACAAATTAGAATAAATTATATTCAGTCTTTAATGATGAGGACAACACGATGAAATGTTAATTTGAAGTGGAAAGTAGTTAAGATTGAAAATATTATTTATATAGGTAAGAATCATAAATACTTTGAAAGGTTTGTACGGTCTTTTAAATTGAACATGAAATTCAGTTCACTTAAAATACTAAGCATATTCAGATTTCTGTGACAACTAAGATTAACTCCAATGATTTTCTACTCTAATCATTTTTGTCTTCCATCTGCACTGGATGTAATGTGACAACTGGCAATGAGACTCAGAACCCTCGGTCTCACGTACAAGAATGCTTAATTTCTAGACAACCAAGGCAACATCTAATGGTGTTTGAAGACTTAATACTGATATATTCATTGTATTGTTGTTAACAATATTAAGTGTAATTGATCAGTCTTGATTAATAAATGGAGCGTCTTGAAGAAATTGGTTCGTTTTCTTTATTTAGTAACAACTTTTTTTATTAAATCTGAATATGCAGGAACATTTGTTGGACAAGTTCTAAATAGGATAAAACTCATATTTTGGATTCATGAATTTCATTGCTAGCCATTATTTAACTTGAAAAGACATTGGCTTTAAATGTGCAGTATAAACACTTCCCTGTTTATTGCAATAAGGTTGAACTTCTTCAGTAAAAAGAATTGAGTAGTCTTATGTAAAAGTTTCTCTTTCGTTTTAGTCAGATGTAGATATAGCTCAATTTGACGTAAATTCCTACTTTTATCACAGTCTTACATGAATAAAAAGAGATGTAAATGACTTCTATAGATTATCAAACACTATAACTTTATAAACTTGAGATCGTGATTCTATTGAAGCTAGACTACCATGGTAAACCTGGAAGCACTGGCAATAAGGACAGAGCGTAAGAAAGTTCGAACCAAACAAGGCGGACAGCTGAACGAGAAATGCCTTTGATACAGTTAAACAACAACGAGTGCGATAAAACAATCACTGGTACAATTGGTTATATAATAATAATTGTTTCCATTGTTGCAATTGTGTTCTCGTCGAGAAAAGCAGGTCACTACAGATTCATGAGTCTATTTAAGCTAGACCACCCTGTAGTGGATCATACTGTTGAAGAGTCCCGTTCTACGACGAAACAGCCGTCCAGTGTTTCCAGGTTTTCTATAGTGGTCCAGCTTAAATGGACTTACGATTTTAACCATTAAATTACTACAATTTCCGAAAACTCTCATTCTGACGGAAATAACATCAAGACAACTGTAAATAAAAATTATGCATGATTTAAACATATACATCAGGTCATTCAGCATGATGATAAAAAATCTCTGGAAACTCTTCATACTAACAAAAATCACTTGCTTATTAGTGATTAATCTTGTGAGATGATTACAAAAGTTCTAATCAGAAACCGTAACTATGAAAATGAAATGTTCAGTAGTTACTCACTTATGGGATTTGGTGATAGTCTCATTACGTGGCAAATTAATTCAAGTATGAAATGTAAAGCCGTGGATGTTAAACGCTAGTGGCGAAATCTGAAATTCCAAGGTTTAAACTGCAGTTATATGCCGTGCTGCGTTAGACTGGGAGTTTTTAGATAAGATATGAAAGTAAACGATAATTTGGAAATTCCTGATCTGGTGGAGCTCATATAATGAATACAGCTGGAGAATGTCACAAAACAACTAGAACAAGTGTTTGCCGTAATCCAGTTGACCACACTCACATAGACTATGTCGAAAATTGTCACTCGAACAAAACTGTCAATCAATTTTTAAATTGATGCTACAGCTTGATTCAACCACTGTCAACTATCCACCAGTTTACTCAAACTCAACACAACCTCACACATTGAGATAGTTGGTAACAAATATTTCAACAACCTCAAATGATAGGCATTCACTAACCCATTAAGAGATTCACCACCTTACACAGCACCTGTTTTTGACCTCACTATTGTTCACTTAATCATCCCAACATACTTAAGCATTACTTCAAAGGCATCTGACATCAAATGCCGATAAGTCACGAATATGTTGTATTACGGTAGGCCATGTTTCACAGTGATAAATAAGTTTAAATCAAACTGTTGAGTACTACACTCGTCCTTTGATTGAGGAATTGACAAATTCCATAAGTCACAAGTGTCTTAATTTGATGAAACACAACTGAGTTTTCTGAAGCATAGTCCTAATTTCTACTGATACTTACTCCGGTTAGCTTAACATTCAGTATAAGTGAAGTGTTTGACATGGTCAACTGTTTTACTTCTGATTATAATTGCAGGCTTTGACGTAGACATGTCCTAGAGTTTTATTTTGAATTTTAGACGGCAAGAAACGCATTTCAATTATCCTTTCATTGTTATTCGAGGCAACCAGAATATTGAAGTTCATTACATCTACAGTCTTATTAGACAATTTCGTCTTTAAATTTCATAACTTCAGTATTTAATGTTAGAGAAGGGACAGTCATTAACTGTACACAAGATGGACGTGTGGACGTGAATATAACTAGTCTACTGATCCATTGTATTTCATTTCGTAATATATCGATCAACACTGTAGACTAATTTCACTCAGTCAGTCAGCCATAACGTAGGACCAGGCACATGTATGCATCCGTCCAAGTTGCCACACCTCGTTAGCACTTGCAGACATGATGCCAAGCACTTAAACGTCAAACCGATTGAGTTTACATCCAGTGGTTTATATATCTAACTCCAAACTATTACCGACACTGCTTGTAAAATGAAAGAGAATAGAAGTGATCTTAATAGAATTTAAAAAATATTTCATGACAACACCCGAGAATCAAACCGGAAACATCCAGTTTTATTCCCAAAATTCTAATCTCTAGACCACTGAACCAAAATCCAAAGATGTTGATGCATGACTTCAATTAATTCACAATATTGCATGACTGCCTTGCAGTATCTAAAGTAGATACCTGCCACATACTTGGTATGATTAAACTAAACTGTTCACAGATTCTCAGTGGAACTCCATGTTATATCCCGACAGCAATTATGAATGGTAACTGTTATGATATATATCTGGAATAATACGATACATATATTTTTATTGTATAATTGTTAAGTAACTAAATCATTCTTATTCGTGTTTCTCTTTTTATAAGCTTGATTTTGACCCATGAACTATTATTATACGGTTTACCATTCTTAAGTTAAGCCCAGTCTATTAATTACAGTTTCACACATTCACAGCCACATGTGGTTGAATCTTTTGCAGATGTTATTTTCTATTTTATGGTCTGTTTGGTTTGTATATAAAAGCAGTATGTTTGAAATACATGATTCATATTGAGGAGGCTTTTATTGATGTTCTGTACTTAACAGGCGGCGCTAGGCAGGAATAAGGACTGATAGGGACTTTGGACTGCTCATACGGGTTTCATGCGTCACCATTATGGTATACTTTATATCGAAGTTTTACGAATAATGAAAAGCCATTTAGCTTTTAACCATTAGATCTCATTTCCGAATTCAATTCCCGTCTAATTTCATTTGCGTAACTGGTTAAGATCATAGGTCCACACATTTAAAATGTGACTTGAGCCTAAAAATGTTAATATATATCTGCTATATAATAAGGTTCAGAGCTAACACTATTTTAGATCGATATTCTTTCATCAATTCAGTATGAATTTCGTTTAATATGACCGGTTGGAATGTTCATTCAGTGTGACATTTATATCCTTTGTATCGATTCAGGTGAACTACATTCAATATGTTCTTGCCGTAACTATATGCATTTTTTCTTACACTTGATATTATTAGGTATGTATCAAAATCAGTATTTAAATGATTGTGCTCGCTCCTAAAGTCATCACGTTATCCAACTTAGTACTTATTCCGTATAGCTACTGGCTTTTCCAATGAAGTTTTAGTTCCAGGATGAACTTCGGTGTCCATCACTTACAGGGAACTTGTAAAATTATAGAAATCTGTGTACTGCATTACAAATGATCTATGATCAGACTATAATGTTGATAAAGAATAAAATTTTTTGATAGCTAACTGAGATAGTTTAAATGATGGAAATACAAATGAAACAAATCTCCTAGTACAGAAGGGAAGTTTGAAAAAGATATTTCCAAAATATCAGTTCATGCACATGTTGAACAGCTGATGATGGAACTATCTCAGTCGAATTCCATGAAAAGCATATCCTTCTAAAAGGAAAATAGAGTTGCCATAGACGAATTCATACATCAATTAAAATTTGGTATTTCTCAAATTTCCTCAAACACCTTCATGGTGTATGCTAGTTATACGGGGAAAAATAAGTAGTATATATCAGAAATTAGAAGTAGCGTTCTTACTGACAACAGAAAATTAAGGAAAATTGAAGAAAGATGAAAACAGTGAAGTTAGCAACTGAAGGAGAAGAACGATAAAGTTTGGAAGAGACTATTCAAGGAATTTATACAAATTGTGTATTCAACGTATGACTTACACATTTTGCATATGTAGTGTGTAATTTTGCACAATGCAGTCAATTGTCTTACTCTAACCAAATTTTTGTGATATAGTTTCATTTATCTAGATCGTATTTACTAAATACTACTTTTTATGAATATATTGATCAGTTCAGAGAAGTAACAGTTTGGATACAAAACATCAAACTAATGAATCAGTTGACGAAGAAGATGACAATGATCGAATTGATACTGAAAAATCGAAAAAGAAACTTGCTTTTATTCGTGATGAAAATGGAGTTTGTAGACCAGGTGAATTAGATGAAGATACAAATATGAGTAAAAATAATGAATCACGGTCGTCTGTTGTAGATCGTACAGCTGCAGAACGAATTTCATGTCGTTTGGTTCAACAGCGTGGTTTAGATGTAAGTAAAATAACATGATTGATTGCCTCATTTTGAGGTACTTATCAGTGTAATCATCATAATAGAACAGATTCAGTCAGATGCATAAAATGTGGTCATTTTCAAGCAACACCTTACTTAGTTAGTTATCGAAATGGGAAAAGGAACATTTTAATGTCTCATTCTTTAACATCATTGACTAAGGTGACATAGAGCTCTGTGGGATTACTTTACGAATTTTACCTACATTGTTGAGGCAATATACTTTAAATGAACTAGACATTAGAAATTAAATGATACCAGAAATTGTAGTAGTTTGTCAATTCAAGCGTAGAGTTCATTTTGAAAAACAATAACTGAAATGTCTAATTTCTCATTTGTTTTTGCTGTTTTAACCGTTTTTCTAATTCCCCTTTGAATAATGAGTAGTCATTATCATCTGTAGGCAGAGATGAGTGATTATTTGCAGTGCAATTTAAGGCGCAGGTTTCGTCATATTTGGGACTGGTCATATGAATCTACTCAAAGCCAGTACAGTCCACTTCACACGTCATCGCATTATTCACTTAGATACTGAGTTCAGATGTGAAGTGGAGTTCATTTAGTATTGGTTATTTGAATCTACCCATTGATATTGACAACTTTAATTGATCACCTTTGTCCACAAATGTTTGTGAAATAACGACATCCATCAAATTATTCCGATCAATTGCATTCGTAAACATCAATTGAAAGATTCAAATAATCAATACAAAATGAAGGAATTCCATCAGTTCATAATAGTTTCATCCTTATTTCAATGCTTCCCACATCATGTGTGTACTGACAAAATGTTTTTCAACGAGTATTGAGTTCTACAAAACTGCGTACAACTCATCGTCAATCTTTTTCCATTCGATAATAGTTTCTCTTCTATTTGATGAAACATTTATCCTGTTTCGGCTATCACTGATCAAACCATACATGAAAATTGTGAAAAAAATCGGTGTTCAGTTAACTTGTCGTTTTGTTTTCTATCTTCACTGTCGTTCAAAGAGAAAAAAAGCAAATTGTAAAACAATAAGCTTTAAGTAAGAGAATTTGTGATGATAAACTTGATGACGTACACTACCAGGGCTGCCAACCAGAGACCTACAACCAACTCTGTCTTCAGCTCTCCTTTCCAATTGCAATTCATTCTTTTGATGTATGCCTTCAACAGTTCATCACTGAACAGCATTGTTACAAGTTAGATTCTTATCATGTTCTGTTCTAATAAACAGTAGTGTTTTTATGCACACAAAAGGGGTATACTTTAGTTCATTTCCGATGATTGAGATTTATTAAACACGTGAGCATTGTTGATCATGTGTGACCGAATAAGTTATTGTTTTTGTATCTAGACACCCGTAAACGACTGAAAACTGTTGTTTAGCTACACTACTTCTTCTACTCACTGTCCTCTTTTGCATATCAATGCTAATTAGTTCATTTACATTCTGTTTTTTTCACTACAGTTTGGATTGTATAGTGAACTGAATAATTTCAACATGGATTCAAACAGCAGTCCTACTCAATCTGGTAGTGGAATTTCGGAGAATGATGATAATTCCAATGTGATAATAACGAATACCATAAATACTACGATGATAATGACAATAATGATGGCGGTGATATTCAACTTGAAGAATCCCTCCGCAATGTAGATATGGAACATAAAGAAAGAGAAGAAGAAGAAGACAATAATACAATTCAAAATGATGAATTTTACACAAATCGTAAAACTAAAGAACTTGGCAAAGAATTCACATTAAAAGATATTTTGGGTCATCGTGTACCAGAACTAGAAATTGACAATATAAAGGATGATGAAGATATGGGACATAATGAATGAAGGACATAAGCCACCCCCTTCACACATACACACACGTATAGTCATTTGGCAACTAGTATGATATTATCGAAAGAGAAAAAGCACTTCCATAGAAAGAAAATTTTACCCATTTCAACAATTTACTTCTAAGGTGAACGCATTTACATTGTCCAACCTTTCTCTTTCTCTTTTTTAATTTTATTTACCATGTAAATTCACAAACTACTGATTCCTAATTCTTTTTAGATGATCCTTTTTATGGAAGTACGACAACGTAGACAGCGAGAGAGAGAGAAAGCGAGAGAAAAAGAATAAATTATCATCACTGAATTGAATGATGAAATAGTTCTCCATCAAGTTTTCCTCTCTTCTTTTCATGCTCATTATTGTTGTGTAATTTGGTAGTTTGTCTCCTGTTTCCTTCTGGGTTCTTTTTCTTCGCCTACTTCGAATTATGGGTAGTTCATTGAATAGATTCAAAAGGTCTGCTTCTATTTGAATTTGTAGCGTTTAACTAAAGAGATATGATTGTTAGGATTCGTTTGTCTGGATATTTTCTTAATTGAATGTGGTCAATAAAACGAAACATAACATGATGATCATTGAAATAGTAACTGATTCATTCAGTTAAGTACTTGTATTTTAGTTTGTATAATTAATGTGAAGAAAGAACGTGTTGAATTGTACAATAGATCTCATACTGTCTTGTTTTCTTACATATTTAATTGGTACTTTTACTCCTGGAGATCTAATGAGAAACCGTGATCAGTGCAGTGTGATCAGTGTTGTATTTAAAACAGTTAACCACGTCAGGCAATGAATGAAGAGTTGTACAAGATGATGGATGAATTGAAGTTAGACAATAACACTTTTGGATTCCGGTTGAGTGGTGTAGGGAATAAGCTTCAAGCATGAGACTGAAGATCCTGGAATCAATTCTCGTGTACGAGATTGTGAATTTATACTGTTGACGAGTCAAATACTAGGATGAAATGAATGTCCACTGCTTCTGGGTTTTCAATGGTGGTCTAGCTTAGATTGACTGGTGATTCCAACGGTGAAAACACTTTTTTTATACTCCAGTGTTATAATAAAGGAATTCACTGAAGGAATATTGAATAGTTATTTTATTATGGTTGTTGAATTTTACATTCAATAAGTTTTAAATCCTCGAAACACGACTTTCTTTTAAAGGGATGTGTAATTCTATTTAAATAGTCTACTGTCGATCTGCTTTCTTAATCATCTGCAATCAGTTTGATATGTACTGCTATTTCCTTATACTATCAATTTAAGTTGATTTGTTGAGTTACTGCAACAGACTGTTTGGTTTTAAATCCATTGAGACTCCATCTCTTTTTTAGAGCATCAATAAATTTTAGCATACTTGTATGAAGGGTGTCAATAAGTTGACTAATACCTCCATATTATAGAGTGTGTTACTGATGTCGACAGATATAAGTAGTATATATCATGATTTGAATGTGAAGTGCCTGGTGGCTGAAGGTTAAGAAGATCGAAGAAAAGAGAATGACAACAATCAAGTCTGACACAATCCATTGATATTTCGCAAATGAAACATTTACTGTATGGTTTTCAGATTTTGCTAAGAGATTCTGTGAATTTATGTTCAACTACATTTGGTAGTCCCCTCTGGTGTTCTCATTCACAACACTAGTTCACTGAGCAACAAAAGCAAAAGTTATTGGGATAAATCAATCTTCATATCTTTTCTCAATATACTCGTAACATACACAAACACAATGTTTTCAAAACTTCGTGATCTTATTAATTCAATAATAAATTTCTATCGGATTATTTTGAAGCACTTAGTCTCCTCGATAAATTCCGATGGTGTAATAAGAAGATGAAGAATAACATCACTATGTGATATTGATAAGCCTTAATCATTGTAGTTTTTCCCGTCGTCACTGATGTCTTGTTGATTGGACGCTATATTCGGGCCTCAAGCTATTCTTGTAACCTCCAAGCTAGAACCACACAGCCACTTGAACACAAGAGAAAAGGTGCAAAATATACGAGAAACACTTTACTCCATAGGTTCATTTATGTACAGAAAATATAGGGTTTTTATAGTACTGTAGAAGTCCTTGGGTTTTCCTGAGAATCCCAGAATATTACTCAACATAGTAGCAGTGTAGTAATCAGCCAATCAGAACATTTACATGTGACTTTTCATTTTCGCGGTATATTTCTAGCAAAACGTCTAATCAAACACTGATTGGATAAAATGCTCCTTAATGTTTCCTGAGCTTGTCATGTCTATTGCGAGAAATTTTCAGGATCATCCCAACAGATATATTAACGCAACACATTTTGAGCAATCTGATCATATGTAATATACTAGTGAAGTAGATTTATACATAAAAATAAAAGGTCAACTAGACAAGAGATGGAGGTTATGAGAAGGCAAGAATAACAATGGAAATAATGTAAAAACAATTTGAAACCTCATCACTCTGGATAATCAGTTAATATTACTTACTTACTTACTTACGCCTGTTACCCCTCGTCGGGGAGCACAGGCCGCTCACCAGGATTCTACATCCAACTCTGTCCTGGGCAATCCTTTCCAGTCCTTTCCAGTTGTTATTCGTCCTTTTCATATCTGCTTCTAGTTCTTTGGCCTTCCTCTTTTCCACTTCCTTTCAGGATTACAAGTTAGGGCTTGCCTCGTGATGCAGTTTGGTGACTTCCTTAATGTATGTCCGAATTACTTCCAACATCTTTTCCTAATTTCCTCTTCAGCTGGAAGCTGTTTTGTCCTCTCACACAGAAGACTGTTACTGATAGTATCCGGCCAATGGATGTTGAGTATTTTGCGTAGACAACTGTTTATAAATATTTGTACCTTCTTGAAGATGGTTGTAGTAGTTCTCCAGGTTTCAGCTCCGTACAGTAGGACTGTCTTGACGGTCGTATTGAAGATTCTCACTTAATATTACCAGTTTAGATTTAAGATGAGAACAAACTGTTTTGGATTACAGGAAGGACGTTTGAATTTTTGTATGGTTAAGGCTTCAATTAACGTCTATACGAAATCATTTACTTATACCTTATATTTGATAAACCTTGAACAATGTTTGCGAATACGTGAGCGACAATCACAATATTATTGTTAATAGCAAATGAATCTTTGATAGCAGCATCATTTGACGTTTTTCATTAAAATAAAGAATTGGAACAAAAGAATTTGAATCAAATTGCAGGTGGCTTTGAAAAGAACCTCTACTAGGTCTTTTAACAGTTTAGATATACCTGAACAAAGGCGTTGCTATGAATTCGTCATAGCGCCATATATGGGACAATGAACTCCATGGACGTGTGGTGACGTGTCGTAAGCACAAAACATATGAAACATTGCTTCGCATGGTCAAAAGTTCAAAGCACTTCCATCAGCAGTTTCACTTGACGGCTGTGCAAAAAGCAAGTGGACAAATTCATTTGATCAACAGTTGTGAAGAAGAATTTCAAAAGACAATTATCTTCGTGTGATTGATAATCACAAAGCTCACGAAGCGAGATGATGAGAGCTTTCAATTTGGCGTATTCATCATAGTTTACAATATGAATAGCACATTGCTTACCAGGAAGGTTGGTCTGTGGTGCACATTCTCACGATCAACAGTCCCGTAACCTTTAAATGAAGGCCAGACATCGAGTGTTCAATAAAGTACTTTATGAAAAATATTATAACACTAATCAAATTACCTCCTTCATCTTATGGTTATGAGGAACCACTAGGTGTTTCACGGCCATTTCTTCAACATACAAATATAACATACGGCTTCTGATCCCTATGAAAGTGAGAATCTCTCACCGCACAACCACAGTACGTAGCTCTTTCAGAAATTCTGATCGCGCTCTATAACGCCTAACTGTGAATAAAAAGCCGTCGCATATATGCTTACAATTCGGAGATGATGCACCTAGTGAAATGCTAAGACTGAAGTTACGCAGATCAATCCAAAGAACTTTTAATGCAGGTAAGCTACAACTATTTTTTTCCACATGTCCAATGATCACTCCAAATTCGAAAGATAAATTGACTAGAATAGCCACTTCTTTCTGTATCTATCAATTCAACTGCTCCTGTGTAGCAAGTTATATAGGCAAATGTTCTAGGAATTTATATATTCGGGCTCGTGAGCACCTTCCAGTGTGGTTAAGTAATGGTGTAGTTGAAATAGTTAACAACTCCGTTTTAACCTAATCAATTCAGACGGGAGATACAGCCAACATGTAGCAGTGTTTAACAATAGTAGATCGTGTTAATAGCAGTCTATCTAATTTCATCAGACTGAGAATCCTGAAAGTGGCTGTGGCAATCGCTATTCGGATCAAAAGGCCAGAGCTTTACATTCAAAAGAAATATGTTCAGCCACATCTTCTACCCTGGCCAACTTCAGGGTTAACTTGTTAATAGTCAATTTTTTAATATGGTGACGTAATTTGATTAATGCTCATTTTTATATCCTCAACTTATCTTATCTACACATCTTACATCATTATTGTTATTATTATTATCACACTTGTCAACATTTTAAATAAATTTGTTCGGCATCCATCCCTATTTACTATATCTGACCTAATACATCCAGTACATCAAGCTGACGAGTCCCAAATAGGATGAAACGCTCGTCCTGGATTCCACTGCTAGCCACTATCCATCTCTGCTTACCATGCTTATGAATTAAGGCTATATCGAGGCAATACGCACAGTATGCACATATGCCAATTAGAGACTGACCAGTTGCAGTCCTAAAACATCGATGGGAAGATTCAAACAATCAATACTAATTGAATCTAATACATATTATCCTACATATTACGTAATTTCTGTTTTGTAATTCCATTGTTCTCAATCACCCCATGTCAACCATATTTATTCTGATCATCATTTATCTCACCATATCATTTCACTAATAAAGTGATTCAAGTTAACACTTGGTATAATAATCAGAAGGAATTTTGTGTATTAGTCACCGAAACAATAACGA